AGTTGGTTTATTGTATGGTTGGTKGGTTGGTCAGTTTGTTGGTAAATGGGTTGATGGGTTCATTGGTTGGTYAGTTGACTTATTGTATGGTTGGTTGGTTGTTGGTTTCGTCGGTTGGTTGGTTGGTTTATTGTATGGTTGACACAGCATATCTGTTTCTATCGGTTGGTTAACTAGTGTGATGTAAGACTATATGAACTCGAAGTGCTGGGGTTCGAATCCTCAGGAAATTTATTCACGAATATTTTTCAGCAAAATTCTCTGTTCCTCTGTAAATTCTTTCTGGACTCTAGTCGAATTTTCGGGKTAATATATAGTTATTTACTTACTAAAGAACTTGATAACTGTGAATGCATAATGACAGGGAACGTGATATATTGTCCGACAAGCAACACTGAAAACCGATTCAACCATATAATAAAATCGTTAAGATGTTGCAGTTCACGTGACATGTCAAACTAACAGGAAAATCGCACACTTAATGATTTCCGGTAAAGATTGGTCCCCTGGGGATTAAAGTAATAGATTATTGGGTCAAACAAAAACAAAAAACGTTTTGCTCCGATTTTAATTAATAAATACTCAAATAACTAGCGATGAACCAACTTATATACTGCATGTTTTTATAGAGTTAGTCTTAAAATCCGTGAACTAGATACACTAACGCTCTATTTGCATTGTTTATTGTGTCTATTTGACATATTTTTGAATAGTAAAATTTTGTTTCATTCTCTGATCRAAAATAAAAATAATTGTCAAATTACCACTTCGTTTTGATTTACCACATCTTGACTATTTTTAGATTAGATTTTGTTTCATGGGTTTATCGTCTTTATCCTTTGTTGTTTGTGTCAAGCGTTACTAGTCATGCACCACATTAACGCTTCAACAAGCTCGACACTTACTTTTATTTAACTTTTTAGTAGAGCTCAAACACAAAGAGTAAAAATTCACTGACCAAATAGTTCTAAATAGCGTAATATAGTGTAGATAAAACAATACAAAACAAAGAAATCCGTATATTTAAGTACAATTAAGACTTATTTAAAGTTTTTCATGGTTCTAGTGTTTGCATTCTAAGGAGTGTTTATATTATTAATTCTGTCTTGTACGTATTGATTTAAGAATCACTACATTTAAACTGTGAAACACTGTTAATGTGTTCATAATCCAGGTCGAAACGGAAAAACGATCGCAAAAGATAGTCTGCTATTCCTATTGGTAAAGTTATATAGAAAACCTATGAAGTTGGTTGACGAACGCTAATCTACCTTTGGACAATTCGACTCGAGTGCAATAGTCGAAAAACAATGAAATTATAGAGAATACGTAAAAAGGAAGTGTCCACTGCTATATGTTTTTGCGTGGGCTAACACAATCGTAGTGACAAAACTATATAGTTAAATATAGTCACACTTAAATCGGACGTAACATCGGTCTCAATAAAGAATGACTTTATAACTTTTAGCTAACTGTATTGGAAGATAACACGCGTGGCAGTTCTCACCTTAAGTCAGTTATTAAGTGATGTTTGTAATCGTTCTTTTACAACTAGTTTAGTTTTCCGTGTTCTCT